CCCCCGCCCCCCAGCTTCTGGTCCCTCCCTTCGGGGCTCCAATTGGCCCTGTCCCGTCAGTTCCTAAATCCCACCTTCCATTCCAGACCCTTCATCCTCAATTCTGCTCCTCAGGCTTGCTTCTCTTTGCTTCTTTGAATTCTTCCTTCCTGCTTGGCTCCAATTCCTGGTCCCACTTTTCATAGTTTTGCCCCTTGTTTGAACCCTGGTGGCACGGTGGGTGACAAGCTGGGCTGCTAGCTGTCAGTCAGTAGTTCGAAATCACTATCGGCTTGGCTGTCTGCTTCCATAATAAAGACTGACCGCCGTGGAAACCCCCCTGGACAGGTCTATCCTGTGCTATGGGGTCACTGTGAGTCAGAAATGACTGGAGGGCAGTGAGTTTTTGCCTCTGACTGGTTCCGCCCTCTCCTTGATCTGTGCCTTAGCAGTGAGATCAACCATGGGTCTGGTCCTGCTTTTCCTTAGGAATTTCCTTCCACCCTGACTCACCTCTTTCCAAAAGTTCTGGTTTCCCTCATGGGTGATGTTACCCAAATCCCTCTCCCACTCTTACTGGTGGCAGCGTCTTTGGCTCTGGTCCCCTTCACGTGCCCAGATTTTTCAGTTTTGACTCTTTTTCCTGTCTGGGCCCTTGCTCTTCCGTTAGGTTTTCAGCCCATCTTTCTCTCCTCTCCTCTTCCTTCTCTCACCAGGCTTTTCCTCCTTGACTCTGCCCCCACTTCCTCTTCTGCTCTTCCCTTTGAGCCTCAACCTGCTGTTTTGCCCTCTTTCTCCTGAACCCCACCCAACCGACGGCCCCACCCCCACCCCCAACACACACACCAACACCATGTCCTTGGCCAGGTCTTTCTGGACTCTTCGACACTGGCCTTCACCACGCTGGCTCAGCTGGGCCCGACGCTTCCGTCATGAACCTCATCTCGGCCCTGGAGTCTCGGGGCCCCCAGCCTGGCCCCTCTGCCTCCTCTCTCCTCTCCCAGTTCCGCAGCCCCTCCTGGCAAACAGGTAAGCCCTGCACCAGCCTGGTCCCAGGAAGCCCCAGGATACAGGGGATTGGCTTGTGGTCCTTTCTGACCCAAGGTCTCTTCCTCAGCCATGCACACGCCAGGCCCCACGGAGCTCTTCATCTCGGGTGCCCTGCCAGGTTCCAGTACCTTTCCATCCTCCTCTGCACTGTCGGCCTACCAGCACCCGGCATCCTTTGGCAGTCGTCCCTTCCCAGTGCCCTCGTCCCTCAGCCTCCAGGACCCCCCTTTCAGCCCCCCTGCCAATGGGCTTCTGTCGCCTCATGATGTGCTGCATCTAAAGTCCTCCCAGGCCCCCACCGTGCCCTCCTCGCTGGGCTTCGAACGCCTGGCAGGGGGCGGCGTCCTGGGGCCCGCTGGTCTCACCCCGGCCCAGACCCCCCCCTACCGCCCGGGTCCCCCAGACCCACCCCCGCCTCCCCGCCACCTCCCCACTCAGTTCAACCTGCTGGCTTCCTCTTCTGCTGCGGCTGCCGCGGCTGAGCAGTCCTCCCCGCAGCTCTACAACTTCTCAGGGGCCGCCCCAGGCCCGCCGCCCTCTGAGCGGGCCCTGCCCCGCCAGGACACGGTCATCAAACACTACCAGAGACCGGCCAGCGCCCAGCCCCCGCCGCCCCCACCCCCTGCCCATGCCCTCCAGCATTACCTGAGCTGTGGAGGCAGCTATCCCTCTATGGGCCACCGGGCCAGCCTGGCCTGCAGCCCCCTGGGTGGTGGGGAGCCCTCCCCAGGGGCTGGAGAGCCCAGCAAGGCCGGGCCCAGCGGAGCCACCACTGGGGCATCAGGCCGGGCCACAGGCCCTGAGGCAGCTGGGGGTGGTGGAGCTGGGGGGGGTGGCGGGGGCTACCGCCCCATCATCCAGTCACCGGGTTACAAAACAGGGAAAGGTGGCTATGGGGCTGCTACTGGGGCGGGTAACAGGCCCCCACCGCCCCGCTCTACCGCCACACCCAAATGCCAGAGCCTGGGGGGTCCAGGGGCTGCCTATGCCTCTGGGAAGGCCTCTGGGGCTGGTGGGGCTGGAGGCCAGGCCTACTCCCCGGGTCAGCCCCAAGGGCTTCTGGGACCGCAGGCTTACGGGCAAGGGTTTGGAGGGGGGCAGGCACAGGACTTGAGTAAAGGCCCCAGCTACTCAGGGGGGCCTCCGCAGCCCCCTGGCGGCCCCCCACCTCCTGGCCTGGCCACATGTCAGAGCTATTCTCCGGACCAGCTGCAGGGGCAACTCTATGGGGTGCAGGGAGAGCCTTACCCCGGGCCAGCCGCCCACTCCCAGGGGCTGCCTACCGCCAGCCCATCGCTCAGCTACAGTACCGGCCACTCACCAGCACTGTCCGGCCACGGAGGCGGCTGGGGTCCCAGCTCCCTGGGCGGTGGCGGGGA